GGGTTTTCTTTTTTTAGGAGGGGGGGGGGTCCGATCGACCTATAAACCATTTGTACAGGGCGCGTTAGTTGCAGAACTGTAGCTCTCAGAAAAAATGTTTTGATAGACCGGTATTTCAATATATGTATTTTCGGAGAGCTACATGTAGTTCTGCATATACGGGCTGAGTACATTTGACATACATGTATTACTTATGTAAGGACCGTCCTAATGTAAAGTCTACGATAAAAAATATAAACAGAAATGAACGAAAGAAGAAGTACGATAGAATTTACAGCGATAAATCAGGAAAACGTATGAATAGCTAACTACATGTATTTATAACTGTGTATCAATGCCACTGCATTTGCATATACTATATTTTACTCGTATTCCGTTCATTATTATGCAGTTTATTTGTTTGACTTACAGGTTCTTGACGTAACGTTAAATTATTTTTCTTACTAAAAAAATAATAAAACCCACCTACCTAATCTACTGAAAATATATTATTTGTGCATAAATTTTGCTTGCATTGTAAATATATTTTTGAAGGGTCTTGGCCTTTTGTAGAATTTATTCTTTATTGTCTGTATTTAAACCATTTTCTGCAAAAAGCGAATGGCGAAAACGTTTTATACCTTTACCAACTTTGTTTGTTACGTCACAGTAACGTTACGTCATCGATTTAACGTAATAAAAGTTTCACGGCACTGTACGTAATTTGAACTTCAAATCGGTACGGCAGCGAAAAGGTTAAAACAGAAATATTGCATATCCATTACTATTCATACTAAAATGATTTTTTTCTACTTTGTATTCAACATTCCTAGTTCAATGAGGATTGAAAGTATTTCCAAGCATTACACGTAAATGTGAGAGAAATTGAGATTTAGCTATAGACTATGGTGAAAGCAAACACAATCCCCGTTGCTATGTAAAAGACATAGCTTCCATTTTAAAAAAGTGGGGTTGCGTTATTAAAAGTATGAGCAGAAAATATAATAAAATTTTTAAAATGTAAATGTATTTCAAATTTATATCTAATTTTACACACCATGACTTTCGCCATGAATAGCAAATCTGTAATCTGATGAAATCGAGGACAAATACGACTGAAATGTAGCGAAATATAGTGATAAACCACTTTGTGCTTTAGGAACACTCTAATTCACGGTGTATAGGCATAACGGACCCTTTCCGCTGAAACGGACCCTTTCAGCAGAAGTAACGGATACTTTCTGCTAAATTTTCAAAAAAACAATGGAGTCTTCGACAAAAATGAGTTCATTTAGAAAAAGGAAAGGGTTAGTGAGTGTAATTTTGCTTCCACGGAATATCAGCGATATTGATCTACCTTAGTAAGCTATTGTTTATTGCCATGCATTTTCCTATTTAGCTCATGAAACGTTTTTATTTGACCAAACAAGCCATCGCGCAGACGAAGGCCCCTCCAATTGTAGATTTTTGCGTTAAATCGTTAATATTATACTATAAGTTGAATATTGATGTGTTCTTGTGAATATAAGAAACCCAGCAATGCTTATGAAGCATGAAGCATTGCAGTAATTTTAATAAATGCATTTTCTGGCACCGGACCTTTTCAGATGCTATTCAGTTAAGCTATCATTTGAAAAATTATCTCACATATTACTAATTAGACTATTTATTTAAAACTCCCTTTTTTATTTGACTTGTCAGAAATCTCCTACATATCCAGAGGAGAAGTTCTGTAACCAAACTATACTTTCTATTCTTGTATTGTTATTTGACTTTGAGGTAGATATGGAGATAACGAACAGAATTCAAGCTCAAAAGTCCAATAAACAATACAAAATAGGAGCAGAGCAAACACGGACCTCCGAAACATCAGAAGTGGGATAAGGTACCATTCAGAAGTGAGCATCTCCTGCCGACTGGTCACCACCGCCGTGTGCTCGTTGCCATAATCAGGAAATAACGGATAAACAAAAGTTAAACATGCACTTTTAATCTATCAATTTTTTATAAGGTCTTAGTGCCCCCTCTTTCAGAGAATAGTCTTTTACTGTATATTTGTTTATTATGTAAAGTTTCATCTCATGGATACTTCTCCCTCTCACTCTTGCTGCTCTGGGTTATACACGTGAAAGAAAAAAGGGGGGTATATAAAAAATAGATGAATGATCAAGATACTTAATATAAGGAGGAGGATATACATGCAAAGAATGATTATAAAGAGAAAATAATAACGGAAGGAAAAAAAAAACTTGAAAAACTTGCATCTTTTAAAAATTAAAGGGGGGGGGGGGTTAGGATAAATTTTTAACGTGTATTAACGTGTAAAAAACTACCCCACCCAATACTGTATATGTATTTTACCAAGTTTACTTTGGATCAACATACAACATTTCATACTAACAAAAGTGAATTAAGTTTTTTTTTTTATTTGGGGGGGGGGGGGCTCGAGTGTGAATTTAATATTTGATACCGTCTTTTATCCTAAAAATGTCATGAAATGCGAGACAAAGGTGTATCGCTAAACACCGGTATTAATTTATTTTCTAATAGAACTTCTCTTTAATAATGTTATTTCAAATTGTATATCTTGAAAATGAACATTTCTTGCCACCTTCAAAATAATGTTTTCTTACCTTTTTCCGACTCAAAATGAAAAAAGGGTGGATAGGTATGGGTGAGAAAAGCATTCTCAAAAATTTTCGATTTCAATGCGTAATTTCTTAAATATATTTACCAGATTACATAAAAAGTTATGCTTTGATTTTCTGGAAGTTAAAAAGGGCCTGAGTTGGACTAAGTTTAGAGGCATCTTTGCTAACCAAGGGTTTCTGACAGGCTACTCCTTTATGAGGAGAGAAGCGTATCAGAAACCCTTGGCTAGAAAAGATGCGGGAGAGGTCAAGCAAACAATTTTTAAAGCTGGCCACAGTAATAGATAATTATATGAGTGTAACATATATATAAAGTAACATCATTTGTATGAATACATAATTATATATTTTAATTTTATAGAAAGAAAAATATAATTCGCATTAAATGATTCATTTTAAATATCTTGATATACATTATCAAGAATATAAACTGTGAAATCTAACGGGTTTTATTTATCAACGAATTTATTTTGAACAGATATGATCCATCTATTCTGATAGGGTTTGAGTTATATCGGGGTAATATTTCTTTTTATATCCAATTTTTCAGTAGACCTGTTGTTAAAATAATAATTTATAAATGTATTTCATACGGAGTAACTGTCCAGAGATTTGAGATTTGATCAGGACCTAAAACATAGAAATTTACGTTTAATAAGCGATGAGCTGAACGTGCCCTTTTCCAAATTATAAAGTGTCCGTTACTATAAAACTTCGCCAAAAATTACTTTTTTAAAATCTAAAACACAGTGAAAACAAAAACATCAAAACGCACACATATTGAAATCTATATCTCTAAATAATACGCCCAAATGCTACTGGTAACACAGCCAATTTATTCACAAAAGTCTGTCCAAATGACTTATCAATATTGATGAACCACTGATGTACGACAGAAAAAATGCTATTTAGAGGCTATCTCCGTAAAATGAAAACAAAACTGACTTTCACGTCCAAGATCAACGTCAGCCACGTTCCGTGGAATGTATAATTTACTGGTTTGCCTAAGATTTAAGTTTCAAAACACATGAATTCTTGAACATGTGTTGGTTCGAGGGTAGTTTCAACGGAAAGTGTCTGTTGCTTTTATCGGAAAGTATCCGTTTCACGAAAAGGGTCCGTTTTGCCTATACACCGTGTAATTTATGGTATGATTGATCTTGTATATGTACTTTGCCTTAAATAACATTTGGGTTGTGTGCTTTTTGACCTATTCATGTACGTAATGCGAAAATAAATAAATTGAAGGATATAATATATACAGTGTATGTAGTATTTTTCGCGGACATGTTAAGGCAGCACACAAATCAACTTTCGACGAATTGACACTTTTTTAAAAAAATAAATCATGAAAAAAATGTTCACCTGTAAAACATAATGTTTATGAACTCTGTATTTTTTTTTGCGTAAACACTGAGGCCCAACTAAAGATCATGTGCACTCATCCTTTTCATTGAATAAAGTGTATGAGAGGAATCAATGGACATGGCTGTTTAAATAACTTTATGTAATTTGCTGTTTTATCAAATTTTATCTCATGTAAAAATTATTAGTGAGAAACAAATCGTAAGCTTAATATTTTTTTAATTCATACGTTCAAAGATCATTATTTTATACACTTCTTTTCCACCATTGCATTCATGAAGAAATTAAGCAGTAATCAAGCTTACAAGAATTTTAAGTAATCCAATAAATAGCAATTACGAGAATAAGGAATATTTGATATTTATTCCCCCGAACATATAATCTTTAGACAATAAAAAAAATATTGGTCCAAACGAATTTTGATTAATCAACAGAATATACCTGTATGTTGTAAATATAACAGTTCGAACTCATGTGTCGCCTGTATAGGGTTAAGATTTATTTCAATAAAGCCCTTAGTTACACCCAAATAAATAATCATTACCCGTCTCACAGAATAAATTTAAATATAACAGAAATACAGTGCAATGTTCTAGCTATAAATCAAATAACAGACTGCCCCCTTGCTGCGTACAAGGACAAAAAGATTTATGTAGCCGCAAAACTTTGCTCTCTTGAAACAAGTCGTTTAATTAATCTGATTTTTTTTTTATAACTTAAATCTTTAATTAGCAGTAGTTCAAAAAAATAAAGAAAGCCATATGACATTAAAAAGCAATTTAGCTTAATAAATTACTGTTAATACGTATACCTTTTATTCAAAAAAACTTTTTTGTGTTTTCTTAGAAACAAAAAATATTTCTTGCGTATAAAATAATTATTATTAAATATGAACAATAAAAAATACTCTAGAGAAAATTTCTTTTAAGTACAATATCTCCATCTCGCTTTTACATTCCAAGTATCCATCTAAAAAAATCATTTGTCACAGAAAATTTGGCGATTAACAGTACGGCAGTAATTACTAAATTTAAAAGAAAACAAACAATCCACACAAATTTTTAAAAGCAATAAACATCTGAAAACCAAACATCAAACCCGAATTTCAAGCACTACAGGAGTAGACTCAGGTGCCCAAAATGAGAAAACATACCCTTTTGATCGATCATACTTGTCATATTTTTTTTCAATGGACAGAGGCAACAGTCTTTTGTCAAATTAAGTACAAAACAGACCATCACTTGGTATAAACATGTCTGTTAAATTAAACCCATTCATGAAAGGTTATATTTGCTAACTATGCAATTGAAAAATATAATATAATTTCCGAACATTCGAACATGAAACAGAAGTAACAGATTTTGTGGTGTCTTCGATTTCAAATTCACTAGGAAATAACAAGTCGACATATAAATGAAAATAAATATTGATACTTGTAATTGATAATACGTCGTCGATATATCTGAATGTTGAAATGAAGGATACAGCATGTGCTTTCTTCCTCTTATGTATTTCTTTTTTTGAAAAAAGCTTTAAATTCTTCATGATAGTATCCTGCTCATTTTTGCAATTTATAATCAAAGCTCAGATTGACTTTTGCTCCATATCTCAGAAATAATGTGAACGCACTTGGTATTGAGAAACCACTGAATCCATCGTCAGAATAAAAAGTCTGCACCATATTGTAGTAAAAGTTCAGCGATCCTGTCATGACCACATAGGAATGCTATGTACAATGGACTCTTATTGTCTTTATTGCATAAATTAACACAAGTATCATTTCTTATTAATAATAATTGGACCGTGCTGTAATGTCCGTTTTCACAGGCTATGTAGAGTGGACTGGTTCCCTCGTTGTCACATAAATTGATGTCGGCACCGTTGTTCAATAAAAGTTTAACCATGCTGTCATGACCATTGAAACATGATAGGAACAGCGGACTGCGGTTGCCTTTATTGCATAAATTTACATCAGCACCTGAATTCAATAGACGTTCAATGGTTCTGCAATTTGAGTTTTCACAAGCTATCCAAAGAGAACTGTTTCCTTCTTTATCACATAAATTGATGTCAACACCGTGGTTCAGTAAAAGTTGTACCGTGTTATCATGTCCATTTTGACTAGCTACATAAAGAGGACTGCATCCATCACTATCACATAAATTGATGTCTGCACCCTTGTTCATTAACAGTTGTGCTGTGCTATCATATCCATTTTGACAAGCTACATAAAGAGGACTGGTTCCATTCTTGTTACACAAATTGATGCCTGCACCCTTGTTCAATAAGAGTTGTACCGTACTATCATGTCCATTTTGACAAGCTAGATGAAGAGGGCTGGCTCTATTGTTGGTACTCAAATTGATGTCAGCACCGTTGTTCAGTAACAGTTGAACAGTGCTATCATGTCTATTTTGACAAGCTATACAAAGAGGACTGGCTCTATTGTTTGTACATAAATTGATGTCGGCACCGTTGATCAGCAACAGTTGTACCGTGCTATCATGTCCATTTTGAGAAGCTATATAAAGACGACTGGCTCCATTGTTGTTACATAAATTGATGTCTGCACCGTTTTTCAGTAAGAGTTGTACCGTGCTATCATGTCCATTTTGACTAGCTACATAAAGAGGACTGAATCCATCTTTATCACATAAATTGATGTCTGCACCGTTGTTCAGAAACAGTTGTACCGTGTTATCATGTCCATTTTCACAAGCTACGTAAAGAGGACAGAATCCATCTTTATCACATAAATTGATGTCGGCTCCGTTGTTAAGTAACAGTTGTGTCGTGCTATCATGTCCATTTTGACAAGCTATATAAAGAGGACTGACTCCATCACTATCACATAAATTGATGTCGGCACCGTAGCCCAATAAACAAATAATGGTTTTATTGCGTCTTTCTCCGGTCTTTATATCCATTCCCGCCTCTTTGAAATGATCCTCGTCATTTGCAACAGCTAATAATAATGGAGTCCACCTGTCATCAGTTGTAAACGTGTTTATGTCAGCACCAAGTCTTACTAATTCTTCAATTATTGAAAAATTATGAAAAACAGAAGCAACATGAATAGGCAAAGAGTCATCCCATATTTCTTTCATTGCGGTTCTTTTGTAATCTTCACTGAGGTAATTTAATAGGTTTAAATCACCATTCACACATATAGCAGAGAATATAGGATGTTCTTTCAACTTTGTTTCTGGTATACTTTTTATGAAAAATAGAGAAATGTCAGAATGACAAAATACAATAAATCCGACCAAAGGGCATATTTCACTTTTAAATGAATAAAGGAAATCAAATCTTGTGAAAAAAGATCTTTCAAATAATTTTTGAAATTCCGATCTATCTAATTCACATTTAATTTTTACAAGCTTTTCGCACGAATCCACTTTTTCCTTAAAAGAGTTGATGACGCTCTCTTTCCTTAAACATGGATTGAGTAGAACATCTACAATATGTTCTGTTTGCATGTCAATGATAAACCTGTCCACAAGATCATCAATATACTCTTCAGGAAGGTAAACATTGAAGGGATCGCGGTCTTCCTCTTCTGTATCGTCTTCTATCCTCACTCGACGTCTCAGAAAACCACTGTCTGCGTACTGTATTGTCTCTTGTGGACAATCAACACCAAACACCAGAGTCGTTATCTCCATAATAAAGTCGTGAAGGAACTGGAAAGCATTTCCGACACGTTTGACATAAGATCCTTTCAGTTCATGTAGAGTACTTCGAATGACTGAAATATTTGTGTTTTCTTGTAACTCACACATTCCTAAAATTTCTTTGAATTTTATCAAAGAAATATCATTTTTTACAATAGTATCGATTTTCAAATTGTTTTTGAAAGCTACTTTTAAGATAAGTGAGCAAAATCTTTTCTTGTCTATTTTCTTCCAAATTTCAATTTCCTTTTTAATAAACCTGTGCGGATTTTTAAAGAAATCAACCCCCTTTTCTTTGTAGTTCTCTTCCCTTGAATAAAGCTTACAAAGCAATGGGAAGTAAGCTTCTGTTTTGATTATTTCAGTAAAAACCTCCTCGGATAAATGAAGATTCTGTGAATACTGATTAAAAATCGCTCTTTTCTCTTTAACAGTCAGTCCATGTTCTTCGCTATCAATTTCTACTGCAGTGGATTCGTCCAATAAGTTACCCTTAACTCTCTTGTCATAAAAGACACATCTTCTACATGATATCAATAATTTATTCTTCTTCAAGCAAATTTCCAGCGTTTTCTCTAAACATTTCCATGAATGATATAAAATTTCATCTAACGATTCCTTACCTAAAGGATCATTGAATACAAATAATATGCGATTTTCTGAGACTCCAGTTGAACAGATCTTTTTAATTTCTTCTACCTTATCCACCGGCATGACATTCCATCCCTGTTCTTTGAGAATAAGTGCAATATGCTGAATTATTGTAGATTTCCCGGATCCAGAATTTCCAACCACTGTGATAAGATTAAGACTTTTAAGCTTTTCTTGAACCACTTCACTTGCTCTTGTAGGAATGAAGGCAATATCGTCTTCTCGCCAATTGTCAAGAATCTCTTTTATCAGTGTGTTTTCTGAAACAGATAAGTTTTTTTTAGAGGTAATAGGTATAAAAAACAGAAAATAAGAAATTGTATTTTTTGTAAAACTGTATAAGTGTCCACTAATCTTGTTCTTTTAAATACATCTGAGTCTGAATTAAGTTTTTGAAACATACTATTGGATTGTTAATGTTGAATGCAACATATGTTCACAACAAGTAAATATGTAATTTAAAGTATTCGGAAATAGAAAAGAATGTATGTACTGTCTTTAAATTGTGGTTTATGATGAATTACAAGTAAGAAATATGAATTAAAAGGTTTCTTTTGCCATAAAATAGAAAAACAAATATGAGTATGGGGTAATTATCTAATGCAAACAACATAATATAAAAATACATTGCAGGTAAGTTTTTTTTAAAGATCTTACGACAACTTAAGTGTTTCATATAGACAGAAAACAGTTAATCGGCCTATTATGTTGTAAATTTTGAATTGACTTTGGGAAAATAATAGGTAACCTGCCAACATGACAAAGAATGGATTGACTTAACTGGCCAGAAAAAATGCCGTAAATTTAAGTTTCATAAAATGTTTATTTTCTTATATCAAATAAGCCCCTAATATATATCTTAACAGTGTATTTTACATGTAAAACGCCGTTTTCTGGGTAAAGTAAATGAATATCGAAGGCAGGATATATGAAGATTTTTTAAATATCAATAGATAATCAAAGTCATGCGTTTTTCATCATCTGAATACATAGCGCATGTTTGTCTAGACATCAGTTAAAGTTACATTGATATAAGAAATATATTTTATGATGACATCTGACCTCATCAGAAATTTGTATATATTATAAATATTATAAGATTTAGTAAACACAACCATATGTTGTATAATTTAGGTCAGATATTGTTTGGCTAACCCTGACAAACAGAGTTACATGTATTTTGGGGACAGCCTAGGTTCACAACTTGGTATTTATTTATATTACTTATTTTGATATTTGTCAATATGTTTCGTAAATTATATAAACTACTTAAGTTACTTAAGTTTATATGCATATGATGAAATATGGTCAAATAAGAGTTATTTGTCTTTAATAGTATTTATGAGTGATAATGAAGATGAATAGAAATATCAGTGTAATATAGATCAGTCAATATTAGTCCATCATTTATAGACTGAATTGACAACAGATTTTTCCGTTACATGTATTTCCCGGTCATGACAAGGAACATACGGCGGGAATAACTGGTCACTGCGGATGCTCACTCCTCCATGGCACCTCATCTCACTTCTGATGTTTCGGAAGTCCGTGTTTTCTCTGCTACAATTTTGTATTGTTATATGGACTTTGATATTGAATTCTGTTCGTTATTTCCATACCCTTATGCTATTGGAATACTTTGTGATAAAATATACATGTATACCTATATCAAATAAAACATTTATTATGTTTACATGTTTTGTAGAGTTGTTATCCAACTATAATTATTGCTTTCGCAAATTAAAAAGAACTGAATATTCATCTTATTATACGGAAATCCGGTTACATTTTCACAAAGAAAAATGTATTCTATAATTAACTAAAATATTATTAAAAGATATTCTATCCCGATTGGGAATATATTCTTAATTACAAAATATTGTCGATATTTCTACTGTGCACCTTAACTGTACTGCGTGTTTATACATATAAGTACACCAAAAGTTGTGACATAGGCCATGCAGAATATAACCCATAATGATTATATAAGAAATATGACTCTGTGGTAGCTTGTCCAAATTCCTGGTAAAGTACCCTAATTTTATGTTGAGAGGAAACTTGTATCAGATCCTAAAATTGAATAACAAATTCTTAGAGAAAATTATATATTTTTGAAAAGCTAGTGGTCTGACCTTAAAAACAGTATTTATTATAATCACCTTTGTCTTCGGATATTCTTTTCAATTCTACCAAATCCTGTTCCACAGAAGAAATCTTTTCCATTAGAGTTTGGTTATTCTTATAATCTTCCCTAAGTTTTTCTATAACTGTTGTTTCGTACTCCTCTTCTAGGACCTGACTTTGAATATTACTCAGACCAGACATATAGTCTTTGTTTGTGTACGTTTGCAGTCTTTGGCAGATATCAGTTATGATTGACCACGTGTTATCAAACTTATTATTATTATGTGTCCAAACATGTTGTTTCTTATCATCCTGACCCTCTCAACGTCATCGCCAATCGTTATTTCTCCTAGAGACGGCATCGTGTTACCATCCCAACCTTTAGTTGGCCGTGGAATTTTTGGACATATATTTCTTATCAGTGTATATAACAATGTTATGTCAAATTCTTTATAACCATCTCTTTTGGCGCCTATAAGACGAAGTTCTTGCTCGGGGCGTATGTTTTTGTAAATTGATGATGCTTTCGCTTTGTTGTACACAAGACCAGGGGGTACCTCCCTTTCTAAGACATCTCTACAGGCCTGGGTCAGTTCTTCGTTTATTGTCATTCCGAGTTTAGCAAACCTAGAACGGCCGCCAGTGTCTGGTTTAGAAGCCATTCTTTGGGTTCTTGTTAAATAACACTCTGAAATGATAATAGATTATTTTATCAATTTAGCGGTAATTAAAGCATATCTTACGTTCTAAAATGACCTTTTGTTATTTTTGCAAAGATACCCAGGGATGTTGTTTTGTCAGGTTTTATAGCGAGACGTTACAAAGTTGATAGATCGTCAATTCTCCTTTTTAAAATTGGTGAACTTGAAAGGATATGGAACGCATGAGTTCAAAATCTAACAGAGACTGCATTTTTCTCTAATTTGTCTTTTTTATTTCTTTATCCGCAAAACGTTAACTTTGTCCTATGGCTTTGAATTCATATTTCACAGGTGTATTTCATATGACTAGTTCATCTCTTTTGGTTCTACAAAATTTGACCTTGTGATCTTAACCTTGCATTTGACCCACTTTTACAGAAAAATTGACCTTGGCTATAACTTTTGAATGGTTAAAGCTAGGGCATTCATGCATTAATATGTATATACTAAGACTGTAATGTTTCCAGATTTATTTTGGATATGACATTCCGCCTCGTGAAGAGGGTAAAAAACTACAAGCAAGAATCATAAATGTAAATTCAAAAAGAATATTAAACATATGACAAATACATCATCTACTTTTACCAAAAAACATAATAATTGAAATTTACAATAATTTCTCGAACTTGACTATAGACTTACAGACTGACATTTAGCTAAAACTTATCCAGAAATGTGAATTTAACAGTATTATAGGTATAAAACAATTCAAATATGTCCTAAACATTATTTCTCATGAATATTTATGCATTTAAATAATTACTAACTCCTGTGAGGCTAGAAAGAGATCAAGCACATTCATGTAAAAATGCTGCTCCATTAACTTGGGCGGAAACATAAACAAAAACATAGTAAACAAACCCGTACCGGGCAAAAAATTCCGGATCGGGAACTTTACACTCCCCCTCTGATTTTGTCAAAATCACTTAACAACAAAAATTTACCCTGGGCATTCATTACGTTCATGAATATGAAAATAACATAAGTAACTGTTACGTAAAATGTTGATAAACTGTTCATATGTAAAAACTGTTCATATGTTACATAAGTAACCAATGTGTATCTCACATAGAGGACAAAAAACAGAATGTTCACTCCTCAACTTCAAACAAAAGAATTAGATTTGCTATTGGTCTTAAACACAAAACTTGTTTTCCGTCCTTTACAGTAGCTACTTCTACTTTTCTAACAAGTCCGTCTCCACTTTCGAATGTTCGGCGCACGACTCCCATAGGCCATTCATTGCGAGGGGACTCATCTCTGAGAAGGATCACATCTCCAGGCTTGATATTCCTCGACTGTTCTGTCCACTTTTCACGTTTTTGCAATTGGTGCAAATATTCGGACTTCCACCGTCGCCAAAATTCTTCTGCCAAGACTTGAACGTTTTTCCAAGCTGACTTAAGAGCATTCTTTGTTCCAAGGGGTGGAAATGGCTCGACATCTGGGTAAGTCTTCATGGTAAGTAGCATCGAAGGCGTTAGTAGGTGTGGTGAGTCCGGATCACATGTCACATCCATCAGTGGTCTGTTGTTAACAATGGCGCATATTTCTGTCATGAGTGTTGTGAGTTCTTCATGTGTCAAGTCTCTACCTTGTCGTTGCAATAACATGGAATTCAGTATACGCTTGACTGTCCCAATAAGTCGTTCCCACACCCCTCCCATGTGTGGGGCATGAGGAGGATTAAACTTCCAAGTAGTGCGACAGGTCGAGAGAAAGTCTTGCACTGGTCCCTTCTCGATAAATTCTGCGTTAATAGACAAATCTTCTGATGCTCCCACAAAATTGGTACCACGATCAGATCGGAATTGGGTCACGGGTCCACGTAATCCAACAAAACGTCTGAGAGCATTGATAAAAGACGAACTTGTGAGTTGTTCTATGATCTCAATGTGGATGGCTCTGGTCACTAGACAGGTGAATAATAGGCCCCATCGTTTCTGATCAGCACTTCCTCCTCTTGTGCGACGGAATGCCACCATCCACGGACCAAATGTATCAACACCTACATATGAAAAGGGTGGACTTGGTTTGCAGCGATCCTCCGGAAGATCTGCCATCTTTTGTTGACTGAATTTACCCCGTAGCTTACGACACATCACGCACTTGCTGATGAAAGAGGAAACTTTTCTCTTCAAGCCAACAATCCAATATCCTGCCGCACGCACAGCACCCTCAGTGAAATGGCGTCCCTGGTGAAATACTTTCGAATGAAAGTAACCAATAAGCAGGTAGCTGACATGATGGTTTTTCGGTAAAATTATTGGGTTGCGCTGTTGTCCACTCAGTTCTGCATCATTCACTTTGTTCAGTCTCCCACCAACTCTAAGAACACCTTCACTGTCCAACACAGGAGAGAGAGATAGGATGGTACTGTTGCGTGGAATTCTGCCTGACTCTTTCATGTACTTCATTTCTTCCATATAACTGTCTCTTTGAACACACGCAATTATTGCAAGTTCACTGTCCCTTAACAACTGAGGATGATCAAATCTAGTACAGGAAGTCTCACTCCTTCCTTTGCAGCGAGCCCAATACTTAATACGAGCAACTGTCCTAACCAGTCTGTTCCAAGATGAAAATCTTGAGAAGCGGTCCGAAAAGCGGTTTGATGTTTTAGGGCAATCTTCTGTGTCCACTTCTTGCTTGCAGCTAGTGACTTCTGGTCGAACTTCAATGTCATGTTCTGGATTAACAAGTTCAAACTCTGACTTGGTAGTTATTTCAGGTGTCTCCCCTGGACCACGAAGCCATGCTGAATCTTCAAGTTGTGACGCGTCAATGCTACGAGTCGCTACATCTGCAGGATTACATTCTGTTCTAACGTGATGCCATTGCGATGGTTGGCTAAAAAGACGAATTCTGCCAACACGATTAGCAACATAAATGTAAAACCTCCTTGTTTCATTGGAAATATATCCAAGCACAACTTGACTATCTGTGAAGAAGTGAAAATTGTTCTGAGGAATCTTCAGTTGATCGCGCACATTTTCTGCAATCTCGGTAGCAAATACAGCTGCACACAACTCTAGGCGAGGAATTGTGTGCCCATGTGTTGGTGCAAGTTTTGCTTTACCTATCAGAAAGCTGATTGTAGATTTTTTCTCATCATACAACTTGAGGTACGCAACTGCTGCCACTGCATTCTTTGACGCGTCCGCAAATACCAAAACCTCTCTATGGGTGGCATCCTCAAACGAGATATCACTGTACATTCTAGGTATGTGAAGAGTCTCAAGATAGCTTAAAGAGTTCATCCATGAGATCCATTTGTTGTACAGTGGTTCTGGTAATGGGTCATCCCAATCAGTTTTACTGGTCACAGACATCATTTCACGAAGTAAGAGTTTTCCTTCAATAATGACAGGTTGTAAAAAGCCAATAGGGTCGAAGACACTGTTGATTACAGATAAAAGTCCACGTCGAGTGTAAGACCTTTCAACAGAGCTGACTTTGAATGTAAAGGTGTCTGTATCTGTATTCCAAAGTAGGCCTAGACTTCTCTGAGTGGGAAGAGTAGCTGTTCCTAAATCAAGATCCTTTAAATCCTTTGCTAAGTCACCTTGGTCCAGCCCATTAAGCACCTCTCTGCTGTTTGACGCAAACTTATGGAGTCTTATTCTGCCGTTGTCATGTAAGGCTTGCTTTGTGCGAAGGGCAAGGTCAACCGTGTGTTCAACAGTTTTACAGGATACCAATCCGTCATCTACGTAGAAGCTCTCTCTGATAAGGTTCTGTACATCTTGGTCAGCAGTTTCTACAACCTTGCGGAATCCGTAATTGGCCACTGCTGGCGATGCAGTATTGCCAAATACATGTCTAGTCATTTGGTAATCAACAAAGGGTTGGTTGAAGTCATTATTTTGGTGCCATATAAAACGCAAATAACATCGTTGTTCTTCTGGTACTTTGAAATTATAAAACATATGTTGTACGTCCATGGTAATGGCTACCTTTTCCTGGCGGAATCGAAGAAGGATACCAACCAGACTGTTCAGCAAGTCAGGTCCTTGAAGAAGCACAGAATTCAATGACACATCTTGATATTTTGCTGATGAATCAAACACCACACGAATGCTCTCCGGCTTCTTCGGATGGAATACAGCGAACATTGGTAAGTACCATCGCTCAACATAAACAGGTAGTTTGGGAGCCAATTCTGCATGCTCATTCTGTAGAAGCTTCTCTACGAATTCGATTACTTGTTTTTTCTTTTCTGTGTTAGAACGCAAGTTGGCATCAAATGACTTGGCTCTATGCAGGGCCATTGACCGGTTGTCTGGTAGAGATCGTCTACCCTCCCGAAAGGGTAATGGCGCTTCCCAAAATCCATCGCTAGATCTATGAAAACTTGACTCCATGACGTGAAGAAATTTCTTGTCTTCTACTGAGAGGCCTGGTTTCTCATCACACGGTAGACGTGTAAAAATGTCACATTCTTTCACCAAGATCTCACTTTCACATGGAATCAAATGTGTGGCTCTTCCACTTGACAATATGGAGGTCTTCAAAACATTGGCAGTCTCAGGTTGATGGATCTTACCGAGGGAAACGTTCCCAATTATCACCCAGCCGAGGGGCAGTTTTTGACCAAAAGGTAAGACATCTGTTCCTATTCTTTGATCCAATACATGGTGTGCTGTTATAAGATCGCGACCAATCAAAAGTTCAATATTGACACTCTCGTCAATCTCAGGAATACATCCCTCAATATCCTGTAAGTGTGAATAACCTCGTGCAACAGCTTTAGACGGAATCTCATTCCTGTTGTCAGGTATCTCATCACATTCAATGAGGCTTGGTAATGTGAGAGTACATGATCCATCTAGTGAGCGCACTATATATCCCGATGCTTTCCGTCCAGATGTAACAGATCTTCCTGTACATGTTGATAGCACATATTCTGTCTCTGGGCCACGTATGTTGAAAGCATCAAAAAATGATGGTGATGCCAAGGATCGGTTGCTTTGGTCATCTATCAGACAGTAAACTTTTCGTTCTCGATAACGTTCTCCCTCTGGAAACACCGACACTAACACAATTTTTGAACAAGATTTAGAAGTGTTTCGGGGTACATTGCATATTTCTGTGCAACATGCATTCACATCGGACTGCTCCCCTTTCTGGACTTTCCTAGGTGCAGAGTCTGGATGAAGAATAGTTACATGTTCCGTCGAATTACATCTTTCACACTTGACCGACTCATGACAGTTCTTTTTTAAATGGCGTTTCTGGCCACAACATTTCAGACAATATCCTTTCTTGAAAAGGAAATCAATTCTCTCTTTGTAAGGTTTCTTACAGAGTTTCTGACAATCTCGCAGAGCATGGTTGGAATTTCCTCCATGAATGGGACACCGTACATAGGAAATGTCACTGTCAGTTTCATATTCGAGACGATCTGGTGCTACGGTTGTTTTGCGAACAAATACATCCGACTTTTGTGCCGACTTTCTTTGTGGTGGATGCTGTGTGGCTGAATTCTGAGGTATGTTCTCCAATATCAAACCAGGGTCATTTCTTAGCCTAGCAAGGTCTCGCAAGAAATTCACCAACACTTGGAAAGGCACATAAGACACTCCATTGTTGACCTTGTATTTGTCACACGTTGTCATCCATTTCTCCTGAAAACGCTTTAACAATTTTCGAACAAAGTCATTTATTCCAGTTGTGGAGTCAAAATATGCAAAGGTTGATCCGTAGGCTTCATCACTTTTCAAGGATTCAACTTCAGCAGCTAGGTCGTACAGATCAAAGTAACGTTTCCTATCATTCTCCATTAACGATGTAAAGTTAATGATCTGCTGCTTCATAGCATGTTCAACTGCTTCAGGGCTACCGTACTCCATGTCCAGTCTTTCCCATATTTGTGTGAGAGCCCTCTCTGGATTGCGAGCATTTGTAGTTCTTATATTTTCGCACTGCAGTTTGCACCCTTGTCCGAGGTTGTTCAATAAAAGATCTAGTTGCTCCAATGGGCCAAAACTGATGTCTTTCATAACATTTAGAAAACTGTGTTTCCAGGTAATATACCGTCCAGGTTCACCACTGAATTTCCAAAGTCTTTGTGGAATCATTTGGTTTTTTACTACTGCCTTTGCAAGATCGAATGCAGTGTCCTGCTTTGTGTTAGTCTGTTGCAAAACCTGGGGAACAACGGAAATCACTGAGTTCTGTATAGGTTCGGACACTTTAATATCATGCACGTCTACAATTGCAGGGGAAGGTATTTCATTCAGCACTGGATCAGGTGGAGGAGTGTTCATTCTCATATTTTCATTCAAATATCGCTCCATCAAATGTTCTTTACTGGGATCTTGATAGTCACCAAAAACACTTTCACCAACGTCTGAAAATTCCAAAACTTTTCTCACAGCTTCTAGTCCAAGGGTTGCCGCTTCCAGTTCTTTCTTACGTGTTAACACAGTTCTGCTGGCCTTGATGGCAGCCTCCTGTCTGATCAAATCTGCTTCTTCTTCTGCATACCTCATCTGCGCACGGGCCTGCTCGACTTTTGTAGTGTGAAGTAATAGTGTTTCTGTTAGTTTAGAACTCACTCTAGATGCGGATTCATCAAAGAGTTTCTTCCCCACACTGCTCATGGTTCCTTGTTTCCTGAGACCTTGATCCATACAGTCAGTCAGCCGAATTAACAGGATTTTTTACTGTAATGTTTCCAGATTTATTTTGGATATGACATTCCGCCTCGTGAAGAGGGTAAAAAACTACAAGCAAGAATCATAAATGTAAATTCAAAAAGAATATCAAACATATGACAAATACATCATCTACTTTTACCAAAAAACATAATAATTGAAATTGACAATAATTTCTCGAACTTGACTATAGACTTACAGACTGACATTTAGCTAAAACTTATCCAGAAATGTGAATTTAACAGTATTATAGGTATAAAACAATTCAAATATGTCCTAAACATTATTTCTCATGAATATTTATGCATTTAAATAATTACTAACTCCTGTGAGGCTAGAAAGAGATCAAGCACACGTAAAAATGCTGCTCCATTAACTTGGGCGGAAACATAAACAAAAACATAGTAAACAAACCCGTACCGGGAAAAATTCCGGATCGGGAACTTTACAAAGACAATGCCTTTCATTGAGTATGATTGAGTGAACATCGCAGCTATGTTAAGGAGGGCAAGAGTTCAAATTCGTAGTTAAAGTTTAATTGAGACGTCATGGATAATTTAACAAGCAATAAAATTAATTAACGACATTTTGATGCGTAAATAACAGCTTGGTTTCTTTTATTTTATCAATTATTTATAAAATCTTGTAAAATTGCAATAATTGATAGCGATACAGATGAGTAATAAAAGAAACCCTAACAAAAGAAAAATACAGTTAACTATAGTTTACTATAGTAAACTTTAGTTTACCATAGTTAGCGATAGTAAATCAAAGTGTGAAAGTTTTTGCCAAAGTCTTTCAAAGTGTTAAAGATTCTGATTAAGCTTTTGAAATTGTCAAAATTTTCGATAAGCATTTTCAAAGTTTTTGATAAAGTTTTTCAAAGTGTCAAAGTTTTCGCCAAAATTTTTCAAAGTGGCAAAGTTTTTACCAAATTATATCAAAGTTTTCGATAAAGTTTTTGAAAAACTTTTTCAAGGTGTTAAAGTTTTCGATCGACTTTTTCAAATAGTCAAAGTTTGTCAAAGTATCAAAGTTGTCGATAAAGTTTTTCAAAGTGTCCAAGTTTTCGATAAACATTTTTAAAAGTGTTAAAGATTTTGATAAAGTTTTGGAAAGTGTTAAAGATTTTGATAAAGTTTTGGAAAGTGTTAAAGATTTTAATAAAGTTTTTGAAAGTGTCAATGTTTTCGATAAAGCTTTTGAAAGCAGGGTTCTCCACATTTTAACATAGAGGAAGCTGTGCAAAAGTGAAATCCAAACGCGAGAGACTAATATTCGACCTTGTATGTTTACTTAAACGTCATTAACAAATTCATTTGGTACATTTACATTTTATTTGGTGCATATTATCTGACGTAAAATGTATCTTATTTTCAAGAAATTAAAATTGTTATGTCCATCCTTCTGTTATTGATGCTTGACCATAGGTCAGCTGCTCTTTGGCAGTCGACGTCTTTAGCAGGTGGTCCTTGAAGAGAAATCAACAGTAACTAAGCATTTTTGTGGAGAGCCTGTTCATGTCTTGTCTCTATTCTGTTCCTCTCTCACAGTCTGAAATAAAAAAAAAAAACAACTTTTCATTTAGCAACACAATCAAGTCATGTTATATATCATATTCAAAATATTTTTTTACAATAAACTTCACAGCAGTGGAGGAAGGTACAGTACCGACCAGACCCAACCTGACACAAACGGGACTACTGTGGGACTGCTCTGGGACTGCTATGGAAAGCAGTCCTAGCAGTCCCATCTGCCCCTTGGACTGCTTTGTCCACTCATGTGTGAAAAAGGGTTCTGAGTGACATGATAGCTCCGCCCCCTTGTGTATTCTAAATTTGTAGGCTCCCTGTTGTTTTGTTTACTTGCAGCAGAGAGGAGGTTAATCTGTTTATTAAGTAAGGATTTCTTACATTCTTTTAATAAGTAAAGATTATTAGTTAATTCATATTTTCAGGGACTGTATACTTACACAAATTAATGTGTATTAAGAATAAGAAAAAAATAATAAAGTTGATAAATAAGGAATTCATGAGAAAATTTTTATCCCTAAAAGTAAAGTACAAGTTCATGACAAAAAAAATAGCAATATGTGGGCCTTTTTTTTAATTATTTAATGTTAAATTTTAATATGTACTCAAAATTTGCATTGGTACTTTAAAAATAATCATTACAGTTAGATGTAAGATTTTTTTTATTGTAATGCTACTCATTTCCACGTACACCTCAAATAAAACTCAACAATTTATTAAATGACAATGAAATGAAATTATGCTACTATTCTACCGTAATATAAACTATGTGAATAATCATTGGGGAATTAATGAATTACCGGTCGCTTTTAATTGGTAAACAAGTTATTAAAAGAGAATATATATATCTTTAAATGAAAATACCAGGAGTTGTGATTTCTTTCTTTTTTTTTGTTTTGCTAGTGTTTACCTGGCCAATTAATGATCATAAGATGGTATAAACTCCCATTGTTTCAATCACCTTTGGGCAGAAAAAGCAATATATGTTATTTGGGTATTTGTATCAGTGTTACACATCATTGAACATGCTGGTAAACAATGACCATATTTTCAATTTATTTAATGCTAAAAAATGTGATAAATGAAATGTGTATAAATTTCTTTCGGGATTAATTAATTTTGAACATAATCTGAAACTTCCATTGGTAATTTACAGATGTACACTCTTAGATTTACAAATAAAACTGAGTTTCATAGGACTAGGCATTAATGATAATTAAATTGACATGTAAGGAAAAATAATCATGACTGAAAAATAATACTTGGCATAATTAGATTTTTAAAACCCCAATACTTATGAAAACTCTAACTTTAGAGTATCCCGATAGTCTAAATTGGCCATATAATGATAAGATCTATTTAAAGCTTCTTCTGGTGGAAAATAATTAATTCATGTTTAATTTTCTTTATAAAAAAATAAACATGAAACCAGTATCAATCATAGAAGAAATATTAATACGCCCAAGGATTGTGATTAAATATTAATGTTAAGTGTTATTCACATATCTACATGTAAGTGTGAAAGCCTTCTTCCTCCAATAAAGATTATATCAAATTATTTCAATTTTTATGCGCGAACATGTTCTGTTCATTAATGACCTTCACGTATATGTAAGGATTCCTGGCATACTACCCAGAATCAATTTAAATTGCCTTTTATAGTTCCATTGTTATTGGAAATATCATTTCTGAGTTAGCTACGCCCATTTAATTAATAAACTCCGCCAACTGGGACTACTGGGACTGCTTTCTGGGACTGCTCTCTGGGACCGCTGGGACTGCTGGGACTGCTGGGACCGCTCTGGGACTGCTGTGGGACTGCTCTGGGACAGCTATGGGACTGCTCTGGAACCGCTGTGAGACTGTGAGACTGCTTTTGCAGTCCAAGATAGCAGTCCCCTGGACTGCTCTGGGACTGCTTTGTGTCAGGTTGAGTCTGGTCGGCACTGTATCAGCATTCTAATCGCAGTTAGGAATGCAAGATTGGGGTACAGTGATCTGTATTTACTGATAAGAGACTTAAAAAAAAATTGGTGTCTTTATTTCTGTAATGAAATATGGCTAATTTGAATGAGTAGAACTCCTGTATCACACCTTCCTCATCAATGATATGCTTATAATGTAAAACTAAAATCTGAAAGTACATGCAAAACCATATATTTCTTTATAACAATATCATTAAATACAACCAATCAACATTCTATTATCATTACTTATTGCTGTTAATTACCTTGATCTTATCTTCTGCATAATCATTCAGATCAAATGATTCCAGGTGCAGCATTTCTTTGGGGTCAAAACTAGAAAATGCTGATATCAGGCCCATATCAGGGAACCTGTCCTAAATATTGGACATTAAAGCATTGATGAATCTATCATCGACCTGTTAAAAATATTTAAAAGAATAATTCATTTTTTGTCCAGTGTAAAAATGACTCTCACATTTGAGGATAAAATCATATGACATATTTTCCTACCTTGCATCTAAATTTTGCAGCATCAGCAATCCCTTGTTGAGTGATGTGAAAGCCATTCTCTTTTAAGATGGCAACCACTTGCTTACTTTGGTTGAAGTAAGATCCGGGAATTGTGAGTCTGGCGTCTAACAGGTTAAGTGTGATCTCTACGTGCTTCTGTATAGCATAATCTAATTCAGACTCCTATTCCAAAAAAAAAAAAAATACAAGTTCAATTCATATATATTTTATTAATCTCAATAAATTATACAATTTATGTTTTAATTTATGCTTTCTTACCTGAAAACATTTTGATAAAATGCTTAACTGGGGGAGAATGTCACACATTGAATACAGGATTGAAAAAAATTGGACAGTTTGTATGTTTTTTGCCAGTCCCAATACTAAACTGTAATTTCTCTCACTAGCTTCCCTTTCCAAGGACATCATCACACTTGGCAAAATCTGACGTAAAGTGTCACAGGCCTTGTAATGAGATAACCACCTCATAGCATTTAGCTGCTTCAGTTTCAATACAGGATTTTCAGAAATGTCCTGAATTTTGAAAAATATAATTATTTACAAGTAAATTTTTATCATTATCATATATGCATGGTCAGTTCAAAATAGAGAGTTACCGCCACAAGTGGAGTTAACAGATATGTAGTTCCATATTACGGCGGATATTCTTTCATGAAGTTGTGATTTGGTTTTATTTTAGTGCTAGAAATTAAAACAGGTCTACAGTTCGGCAGGTAAACATTTGCTAATATACAGGTCGGCAGGTCCGTCACAAGTCGGCAGGTAGAGAAGTCGAAAGGTCGGCAGGTAAACATTTGCTAATATACAGGTCGGCAGGTCCGTCACATGTCGGCAGGTCGACAGGTTCACAGGTAGAGATGTCGGCAGGTCGACAGCTAAGCAGTTTCTTGTTAGTCCTGACGACCTGTCAGACTTAGACAGCTCAGTGTAAATTACATATTCAAATACTTAGCACGTACCTTTTTAAGAAGTGCAGCAACCACACCTTTACTGCCAACCATAACAGACGCACCATCACTACCAAAGACAATTAGTCGGTCTTGCATTGGAATACCAGCCCAATACAGAGTTCTTTAAGTTTTGCAGTAATTGTGTCCGCTTTACCATCTGGTAGCTTTTGAAAATAATAAAATTGGATTTTTGTGCATTTATCATGTTGATTTTAAATTCGTATGTTTATATCTAAAATTTGACATTTGACTTACGTCTTTTATAGCAGGAAACTTGACATGGGATTCTTCACTCTTCATTCTTCACTGAATTTGATGTATATGATAAGCTGTTTCAAGACAGATATACCTGTCGTTTCGTCTATAAGCAAGCTGTAAAACTGACTTTATACTATCTTCTTTAGAAGGTCTTCTTTAAGTGTTTCGCGTATAGTATACCCAAAAATTGAATAATTATATTATAAAGTGAAGAATTGTGTGTGTGTTTCCAACCATTTTAATTTTTTTTTAATTTTATATTTAATTTAAAATATTTATATACCTAAACACCAAACAATCTCTTGCATAGCCCGTTGTGACTGATATTTGATATTCCCCTTTCCTTCAATGCAGATTGAATCTAAATATGAACAACCAATATATGTTCCTTGCTAATTCCAGCAAATCGGAAAAATTTGTTGTATGTGGAATTTCCTTTTTTAGAAGGAAGTACATGCATTTAAACGCTGCTATAAAAGCCTGACGCTCCATACTAATAACGTTGTCTAAAGCTGTCGTAATACCTGCAGATGAAAATAACAGGGAATCATATTTTTTTTGATTTTTCAAATTTTTTTATAAGAGCTTAAGAACTCCACGAAAGTCAGTGGTCAATATTTAGTACGTTAACTGTAAAACTTGATTACCTCCCGTTTTCTTGCTCAAAATGCGGTCTCGCTGAGGATATACCACGATCTGGTGATAGCTAGTTCTTTCATGGTTTCTAATAACATTTTCACTTTTTGATTTACAACCCTTTTTGTCCATATCTCATAGTTTTTTCGGCGCTTGTTTAAATTCTGTACACAATGTACAAAACATTCCTAAAATATAAGTGACAAATAATAAGTAAAAGCTAATTTCTTGAAGCATCAATTTATTTTTTGTGTGTAATTTACCAGGTTGAAGCTAGCAGCCAATAACAGCAGCCACTTAGTGCGTAGAAGCTAGTAGCCAATAAGGAATTTCATCAAAGAACTGAGAGTACTCAGACGCAGTACAGTTTTTAATACGTTATTTTATTCTAATTAATGGTTAATGATTAGAAAATTAATGCAACAATTAATTACATAATAAATCAGATATTCAGAGGCAGTGAGGCTCACCTGAACATTTTTTTTTTCTTTTTTAAAAGCGAAAAATCAGAAATAAATTACTTTATAATTTTTATCCAGTTGAACAAAAAAGCACTAGGAAATGGTTAACTCCTTCAGGAAGAATTCCTTTTCAACTCCTTCAAGGACCACAAGAATATGACAGGGCCAATGAAATTTGATCAATATATAACGATTGGAAACAGAAATATGGCACAAGTGTAAACTAGGTTTAAGTATGTTTTGAACATTATTACTGGGACAACTTAATAAATCTTTAAGACTGTAAATTACCACTATCAGTAATAAGTGATGGTGGTGCCAGCAAGTGGTTCCAAAAGCATTTTCTATATTACAGGCAGGTATTATACCCATGATTTATAAAATGATCAACATTACAAGAGCAAGATAGAAGCTATCAGAAAGGGCTTTAGTGGTACCACCAGGTTGTGCCAAGTGCATTTGTCATCTTCCAAGCAACTATTCGTCATCAATTATTGGTGATTAAGTTATGGGTCTTTGGGAGAATCCCTTGTCAACGGTTCAAAAGGTCCCAGGGACCGAAAAAGGCCAGTTATCTACTCTGAACTTTGACTGTTTTGCATTTTATCCAAAATACGCGATTAAAGATCAGCTATTACACGCCTAATCTTTGAAGTGTTCACCAAATAATTAATGGGGCAAGGTAGAAGGGGCCTAGGACTATCATTTGCCACTTTCAATGGGGCTGTAGTGGCACTACCAAGTGGTGCCAAGTGCGTGGGGCATATTTCAAGCATTCATATTTTATTCATTGTCGGCCTCCTGAACAAAATAACATTGGGGTAGTTAAGGGGGCCTTAGGGGGTATCCCTTGACAGATATCGGCAGGGTCCTAGGGACTGGAAGGTTCCAGTTAGCTAACCTGAACTTTCATGTTTTTCATCATTGTACATGGGGAAACGGGAAAAGGGCAACTATTATACGCTTTATCCTTGAAGTGTTCATCAAATGATTATTGGGGCAAGTAAGAAGGGGCCTAGGACTATCATTTGCCACTTTCAGAATGGGGCTGTAGTTGCACCACCAAGTGGTGCCAAGTGCGTTGGGCATATTTCCAGCATTCATATTTTATTCATTGTCGGCCTCCTGAACAAAATAACACTGGGGGTAGTTAGGGGGCCTTAGGGGGTATCCCTTGACAGATTTCGGCAGGGTACTAGGGACTGGAAGGGTTTAGTTAGCTAATCTGAACTTTGATGTTTTTCATCATTGTACATGGGGAAACGGGAAAAGGGCAACTATTATACGCTTTATCCTTGAAGTGTTCATCAAATGATTATTGGGGCAAGTTAGAAGGGGCCTAGGACTAGCATTTGCCACTTTCAGAATGGGGTTGTAGTGGCACCAGCAAGTGGAGACAAGTGCGTGGGGCATATTTCCAGCATTCATACACTTAACCCTTAACCCATCCCCAATGAAAGATGGTTCAGGTTCCCAGAAATGGAGGACAAATGAATGCTTAAAATATGCCCCACGCACTTGGCACTACTTTGTAGTGTCACTACAGCCCCACTTTGAAGGTGAGAAATGATAGCCCTAGGACCCCTCTACCTTGTTCAATAATCATTTGGTGGACACTTCAAACAATAGCTATTTTCTAATGATTTTCCTGGATATTATGTAAAACCCAACGTCAAGGTTCGCCTACTAGCCCTTTGCTGTCCCTGGGACCCTTTGTAAGGTTGACAAGAGATACTTCCTAAGGCCCTTAATCCATCTCCAGTGATTAGTTTGTTCAAGTGGCCAATAATTGCACTGCGTGAAAATTTGGCTTTACAAAACAAGTAAAGATAATGTAAATTTATTATTTACAATGCCTTTAAATGGCTTTTCTGAAAAAAGTCAAAGTTGGAAAAGGTAACCTTTACATTAACTTTACATGCACTTAAATATGATGTAATGTCCCACATTGTCTTGACTTTACAAAAAAGTAAAGTTAATATTTACAACCATTAAACACAGTATTTAGGATAAATTAAATCTGATAATTACAGACCTTAAATTTAATTAAATACCATCTTTAATAACCACAATCTGATAATAACAAACCTTAAATTTAATTAAATACCATCTTTAATAACCACAAAAGTTAATAATTTCCGTTTTCCATTCCAGTGAATGAAGCCTTATTCAAATTATGAATAAGTTTTCCTTCCAAAGTGATAAGTTGCGGAAATGTAAACATCATAATTAATATACATATTAAGAAAAAGCTGACTTTAACTTTGTTTATTACAATACAAAACATTATTTTTTACAAACATAAAATCAAAATCATCAAGATTCTTGGCAGTATATGTTGCCCACATCCTATCCTGCAAATAACATGCATATCAAAGACAAAGTACATTTTACAAATATGTTTTTTTTTTTGTATGTGACATGTTTTATAATAAAACCAACTGTTCATTCTTGAATTTAAAGTTGTGAATCAACATAAAACTATTTTATGTCCTCTTTCTTGTTGATATTGGTTTTAGTAGAAATCAACAACTGTCAAAATGTTTTTGTCACACCTCCCTTTTCAGAGTTCAAAACTTTTCTCCCCATGCAGGCATTTTCCTAATGCTTTTCCTAAAAGAAAAAAAATGTATTTTTTTCAGTGCCATGCATTAGTATGAATATTTTCAATGGCTTTGTGTTATCAGAATTCACAATACTATGATAAATAAAACTAAAAACAAGGCACAACGTTACTAATAAATAAACAGTTCATACATGACTTTTAACCTCAAAAAGCCAAAAATGTAAATTTATTAATTTAATAAGATGAGTGGAACTCTTGTTATTGACATATTATATGAAGAATCAATGGGTTAGGTCATGTATCCCTTATCACAAAAAGCCTATAAACGAAAATTTGAGAAATAGGTATTTTTTAAGGGTACTACACAAAAACAAAGAATAAATCCCTGATATATTGAGAAATCATAGGTTTCCTGACTACTCAGTCGTCAGTTTACAAAGAGAACAATATTGTGCTACATACCGTGTAAGTAGAATTTTTAGCGAGGATTTAATTTTGGCATTATTAGCGAGGGTGTTGAGATGGTAAAATTAAATATTGCTAAAAATTAATTGCGTTTTATTTGTATTAGTTTCTTAAATGTGCATTTTAAAGTCCCTAAAATAGCATCTCGCTAAAAATAAATTACCAGTTTTAAAGGACAAATCGTAAAATTTGCCTCTCGCTAAAATTTCCACTTATGTGGTATTTAATTTAGCTGTACATGTATACAGAATGATACTGAAGTTATGGTTTAGGATATATATACCTTTTTCCCCAATCGCATGTTTCAGCTCATGACCTTTTTCCTGATATGGAACAGTAAAAGTACTTGAGGTGAGAGTCCCTCAAATTGAAAATGACAATCATGCTGAAATAGAATTCATACCGTGATTAACATTTTGTACATATGGACAAATTTAGTCAATATTTTTTTTTTAAAAATTATGAGTTTGAAGCAAACTGCTGCACTTGGTCACCAGAGAATGAATTGATTTTGAAAATTAATACACTGTGCAATCACAAATAATAGCTATGAATTGACAAACACCCTTATTTTATTTTTTTATCAAGAATAATCTAAATTCTAAACAATACTTGCCATTTATAATATGAAAGTTGAGAACCAGCCTCTTCTTCATGACAGGTCTTTTAATTTTCTATGGTAGGCTGAGTAGCTTGAGACTATATACAAAGGAAATTGAACATTTTTTTTTTTTACAAATATATGATGATATTGACTCCCGAGCAATTCAAGCATTAAATAATGTAAATGTTTGTTCAAGTAACAGATTTCATGAAATTTATTATTAAAATGTGTTTTTACCAAAGAATACTGGGATCCTCAATCTGGGTAAACATGTTTTGTTGTCTTCCTTGTCTCGTCTTGATGTTTTCCCTTCAATAATCTGCATACTGAATTCACTATACCTGTGTTTTAAGAAAATGGACACAGTTTAAAATACAAAATGATATAAACAAGAGGCCCATGGGCCACATCGCTCACCTGAGCTCTAAGGGTAGGAAAAAGTAGAAAATTGATTTTTATTGTAAAGTTTAAACCCAAAAGTAGTCCCATGACCAATCATGGATGTGCTATTTTTTTAGAAAATGATTTTTAAAGAATTTTCATATATATATCTTTAAAAACTTTGGTCGGCCATTTTGGCCCCGCCCTACCCCGGGGGGTCATGATTTGAACAAATTTGAATCTACACTACTTGAGCATGCTTCCATATAAATATGATGAATTATGGCTTTGTCATTCTTGAGAAGAAGATTTTTAAAGAATTTTCCTATATATTTCTATGTAAAACTTTGGTCAGTCATTTTGACCCCAACCTACCCCTGGGGGTCATGATTTGAACAAACTTGAATCTACACTACTTGAGCATGCTTCCATATAAATATGATCAATTATGGCTTTGTCATTCTTGAGAAGAAGATTTTTAAAGAATTTTCCTAAATATTTCTATGTAAAACTTTGGTCGGCCATTGTGGCCCCGCCCTACCCCCGGGGGACATGATTTGAACAAACTTGAATCTACACTACCTGAAGATGTTTCCCCATAGGTTTCATCTCTCCTGGCACAGTGGTTCTTGAGAAGAAGATTTTTATAACATACAACCAAATTTTCACTAATTCTCAATTATCACCCCTTGAATGAGGGCGTGGCCCTTCATTTGAACAAACTTGAATCCCCTTCACCCAAGGATGCTTTATGGCAAGTTTGGTTGAAATTAGCCCAGCGGTTCTTGAGAAGAAGTCGAAAATGTGAAAAGTTTACAGACAGACAGACAGACGGACAAAAGGACGCCGGACAAAATGTGATCAGAAAAGCTCACTTGAGCCTTCAGCTCAGGTGAGCTAATAAAAATAAATAAACTCTCAAAGTTGAGAGTTTATGTACATGTATATAGGTTAGTATATATAGGTCCCTGATAGGTGTAGTACTTTTCTTACAACATTATTTTTCTAGCCTGATCAAAATCTTTATTAAAGCAACTTTTAGAGTGTAGTTAACTTAACATGGTTAATGTAGATACAAATTTTTAAAAATATTTTACATTTGTCAATCCGGTAGACAAGCCCCTATGATTCATACACCTTAACAGAATAAAGTGACGCACATAAACATTTAATCCCAGATTTATCAAAAGTACTTATCTAATATCCTAGCAGAAAATAACATACAAAGCGTCGTTTTCCGTGACTTTGATTAGTTTCATTCTTTCACAACATGCACAATGTACTTATCTGAAAGTGAAAGTAAAAACGGCTGGAAATCGTAAACAAACCTTTAGAGCATGTCAACCCGGGAGTTCGAGCAGTTATTCAGGCAAGAATCTTCTTAAATCTAGATGAAGTGTCAAAAAATTACCACTGGTTTCAAACTTCGTCAAAATAACGATGCAGACCCGCTCAACTTGATTTGAATTGATTGGCTATTCAACCGAGTACACAGTGCCATATTTGGGTTACTGTTCAGAGTAGATCGTTCGTTTTACATTCGAGAAGAGTTTACATATTACTTGAATGAAGAGGATAACATAATACTGAGCTAAAAATTTTGTGTAAAGTATGTTTTCTGTTTAGTTTACAATACAAGCTGTAAATGTGCTGGAGATTTTATTGATGTTGAAGCTTGTAAACAAAACCAATAAACGTAGGACTTATTCACGACAATGTATGGGAACCAGAGCTGGGAACCAGTCTAGAAGGCAAAGAAAATTCCGCCAAGTAAACAACAAAGAAAGGGATTTGGGATGTTGTCAGTTGTATACATTATGTGGGCCGGTGACTGCAAGGTAATACATGTGTCTTATTTGTTGCGCATAATTTGTTTCATTTAATTATTGAAATTTATCCGTCCCAACCAGTGGCGTAGCATCGTTTTTTTTATTTTTTGAAAGTGGGGGGGGGAGGCAATAAAGGGGGGAGTTAAGGGGGGTTTAACTTTTTCTCAGTGACAACTACATTTAGTTCCAATTCTTATACTACATTTTTGGTACATTTCTAATAGTGTATGTTAGTTTTGAAAAAAGTGTGTGGGGGGGGGGGGCAAGCCCCCCTGGCCCCCCGGATACTATGCCCCTGCCAACACTGGCAGAAATATAACTAATCTGACTTCAAAATTCCTTCCTCTCAGGCAGTCTGTTCCCCGAAGTACATGTTACACTCTTCGCTCTTATATTTTAAAATATTCATTGTATATTTTTTTGCAGAAGCAAGGAATGTGGAGCTAATGCATGCTGCTAAGGATGGAAAGTTCTTTGTTTATTGGTTGTTCCTGAGACACCAGTCACAGTTGTACCTTATTTCCATTTTAGGTAATGCCTTTTGATTTTTTTAAGTAGAGGAACAATGCATTTTTCATTCAATATAAAGCTTCGCTCTCATTTTTTAACAAATTTTCATTGTATATTTTTGTAGAAGCAAGGAATGTGGAGCTAATGCATGCTGCTATGGATGGAAAGGTCTTGTGTATATTGGTTGTGCCTGAGACACCAGTCACAGTTGTACTTTATTTCCATTTTAGGTAATGTCTTTTGATTTTTTTCAACATTGTTGGATACTTACTACATGATTTTATCTAAAGAAAAGTATTTAAAATATTTCCTCACATTTTTAAAGAGGCCAGGTATGGTGATATGGAGATTATTCATTTTTTATTCAAAATCTTATTTTCCATGCATTTGTACAGGGAGTCTATTTACACTTGAGAGGTGAGCGTCAGATTTAATTTTGAAGATTGATGACCTTCAGATGTTGTGATGAAGATTGTTGAAAGAGATTATCAACATAGAACCATAGAACAGTCAGGTGAGGATTGGACTTCAACATTTTATCAAGAGATGTTTATATACTGCTAAGCTTAGTGAAAGCACACCATAAACATTTTAAGTATCTCAGTCAGTTTCATGGATATTACAGATGTATCACTATCATATGTTTGACATTGAGTCGCTTTGTCTAAATTTCCATTACGTTTAGTTATACATGTGTTGTTACTTAAGTATGTCTTCAAAAGCTTGTGCTTTAATTTCAATAGAAGTAATGAAAACCTATTTAAAAATTGTATTTTTTTTTCTTTATAATTTTGAAAATTATTATTATCAGGACTTGTACAACACCTGAGTACCCAGATGACTGTTGAACTAATTGGTGAACAAGAAAAGATGTCAGAGAGGGGAATCCAAAACAGATGTCATGATCAAGAAAATGTACTGTTATCAATGATATGATCAAAAATTTGTAAACTTGTAGCAATTTAGAATATCTTATCTGTAATATAACTCTTCAATACATAATTGTTCACACATTATCATCTTATCTGTATATTAATTGCCCCCTCTTATATAACCCCCTGCTGATTGTAATGACCTGTGTATTGATTCCTGATCTTAAGGATCTTATACATGTAATGTGCTCCTGATCGTCAGGAGCGGATCTTGAGTATATATATAGTGCGACAGAAATTTAGAATAAGATATAGGAAGATGGAAATATAGAAGACTTAGTAGATAGAACTGTTAGAGATAGATAAAGTTACTTACTTACTTGGAATATAACATAATATTTTTTGGATTTATATGTACATGTAATTATTTAACTTGGATTTTATTTTTAGTGAATTGTTTTTCCTGAATGTTTCTATTTGTGATGTGCTGTGTAAATAAACTGTAGACTAGAATTTCGGCAAGATATGAGGAACAAGGATAAATTGATTTATTCATGCAAACTGACATTATGAAATGTGTTATAAGACTGCCTGATGCGGCGCTACAAACTAACTAGTAAATATCTTGGAGATTTATAGATGAACATGCAAGCATTCTTGGTTTTAAATGTTATTCATTCAGAGTTTTTGCACAAATTCAATTTTCAGTACAGTAATTTAAACTGGATGTGTGATTTTTAGTACAGTTATGTAAAATGAATATGTTACTTTATTTTGATTGTCAGTTTCTCAACAGGATATAATTTATTTTTTTGCAGAACAAAACACACAGAACTTTTTTTCTCTTTGTGCACCCTTCACCTGTAAATGTTTTACACCATCTTGGTTACATATTTTACATTTATGACGTTTAAATCGAGCAAACACATGAAAATACGTAAAGCTGGATACATACACTCAAAATAAAAAAATTGCTTAGTATTTTTTTTTTACTTATTTTAAGTAATCTGATTACTTAAGATAATTGTTGATTACTGACTATGATTGAGTATTATTAAGGATTACTAAGTAATTCACGAATTACTTAAAATTCCTTATTGTAAGTAAATTAATTACTTAAAGTATATTAGAATTCATTCAAAAAATTAATTTAAGTAATTCTAAGTAAAATAATTTACTAGGATTTCCATTATCGCCCTTGAAAATATTTTTTAATAAAACAAAATATTAATCAAATGTTTCTAAACAGTTCTGCGTCTAAAATTTTTGTTACAATTAAATACCTTATTCGTTAAGAGATATAAATATCCCAACTTACATCGTTTAAAGTGACCTAATATAAATGTTTTAGGTAAGCTATTAAAAATAATTAATGAAAATATAAGGAATCGAAACTAGAAGTCAACATCTTTACGGCAATGTAGAATATAATGAGTTGACTATAGAAAAGTCCTTATTATTACAATTCTGTTATATCTGACAATATGTCAATCACTTTCATATGTCAGGTTCTCTCTTATCAGAGGAAAATCAATTAAATTAAATACAAGCTTAAAAATTTGTTTACTCACATTATATAAATGTCAACTCAAGACCACTTCTGATTTACCCAAAAAGCTTTGTTCTTCAAATACTAAGTAATTATTTTTTTTTTACTTATTTTAAGTAAATTATTTACTAGTCACTGTTTCTATAACTATAAAATTGTATTACTTAAAATTACTAATAAATATTATAAATTACTTATCATGATTGCTATGGTGACAAACTTTTTTACTTAAAAATTACTTAAAATAAGTAATTCGTTTACTTGATTTGAGTAAAAGTAAGTAATATTTTTTTTGAGTGTATGCAAACATGCATCTACCATAACCCATTACATATTTTCCAAGGTGTGTGAAGTCGAGCACATACATGAAAATGTGTGAAGCTGGACACATACACAAATACACATGCATCATCTGCCACAACCTATTACATATTTTCCAAGGCGTGTGAAGTCGAGCACATACATGAAGATGTGTGAAGCTGGACACATATGCAAACACACAAGCATCTACCACAACCTATTACATATTTTCCAAGGCGTGTGAAGTTGAGCACATACATGAAAATGTGTGAAGCTGGACACATATGCAAACACACTAACATTTACCACAGACATAAAAACAAATCTAAACTTAATCAAGCATAGACAGGCTCATGGGATGAAGCTGGACTCGTACATGATCTCATGCATTTTTCAAACTGCATCCCCGCATCTATTCTAATAGATTTTTCACCATATTTTGTGTTTGTGAATATGTAAAATGCATCATTTTGCATTAAAATTTGAAGATGTTATTAGCCTGTGTATAATAAGCGCAAATCAAATAGCCTTTTATGTAATTTTTTTCACATTTTTAATTCAATTTAAACTGCAAAGTTTATTTTATATATGTACATGCACCATAAAGAATAAATATTATACATGTATTAGTATTATATTTTAAAGTGAAATGAGACCTCCATTTCATAAGCAGAAATGTGAAATTTATACTTGTCATCTGTATTTCTTTTTTTTATTTTTTCCCACATTTATCTGAATGTTTAAAGGAAAACAAAAGTCAAAGATAGCTCAATATAATGTTTATATTCAAGGTTATAACTGGATATTGTTTGTGCTGTATATCTGACTCATCATATTATGAGAAGCAAAAATACAGAATATTTTAGATCATTTTTGATTGGAAAATGAAAAATATCAGTATGCCAATTTTCCCCATTGTTATATTTTTAATTACTTTATCATTAATATCAATGTACATATTAAAGATCTATGTCATCCAATTCACAGAGTTGTATGCAATCCTGATGCAGATAATATTTTTTTCCTGTGTTTCTCAGTATAGCGGGAATATTTTGTATGCGAGGAATGTATATTAATGGTTTTGGTTGTATATGTGGGCGTGGCCAAAGAAAAGCCAATGAGAAATGAGTATTCAGTAATATGTTCATATCATTCTAAGCCAATGCTCTTCAATACACACACATTTTTTTTGCTTTATATACATCATATGTGTATAAATATACTGGTAATGGAAATAACAAAACTGTTGAAATGTTTTTTATTTTTGATTTTTTCATACATGCAAATATTATAGGATGTTCATGCATTTTTAACAATTGCACCGAATGCACGTCCGGCATTCTCCTTTGAGACATTATTTACATAGCGATGGACACAGGTTTTCCATAGTTAACCATCTATGGTTTTTGCCTGGGCGGTTTTTAATGTCAGTGATAGGGATACAATTTATTACATGTAAATTATTTTGCAAATGCATTGCAGTGCTTTATTGTTTCACGTTCAATGAAATGTATGTTAAAAATTTATGTTTTGTTCCATGTATCAAAATAAACGCCAGCTGCTCCAACTAAGCTAACCTGGCTTACATCATAGGTGTTGTATTATTTGAAGCGTAGTCTGTCAAATAATGATGAGTCGAGTGTTTGAATCTGTAGATGACCATTTCTAATACTAATTTCCACTGGAAATGGATACAAGATAATAAAAACAATATATGACATTTGTCTTAAAATTCTGGGTACTGACTAGATTAGATTCTTTAAACTAACTGTGAAAATCCAAAGAATAAGTGTATTAAACAATTGTCAGCATTTAAATAAGAATTTGCTACAATATGTATACTCAGTATTTAATGAACTTTAATATGGCATTAAAGGTGAAAGGTTATATTTAATTATCTTTTCGTGTAATTAAAGGTTACCTTTTCACCTTTACTTTTTGTAAAGTTAATACAAAGATGACCTTGCTTTTGGGAGCACCTTTAATGAAATTTACTTCACAAGTAAAGTTTTGTAAAGGTGTTTTTTCAAGCAGTGTTGATGACAATTCATTGCTTGAAATATACTCTACACACTTGGCACCACCTAGTGACATCGCTACAGTCCCGTTCTGATAGCACTAAACAAAAGTCCTGGGGCCCTTCTACCTTGCCCTAGTTAAGATATTGTGGGCACTTTATAAATCATTAGTATAATACCTGTAATATCAAAAATGCTCTTGGAACCACTTGGGGGCAACACCACCACTTATTACTGATAGTGGTAATATATAGTCTTATAGACCAATGAAGTTGCCTGGGTAATAATGTTCGAAACATACTTCAACGTAATTTACAACTTGTGTAATATTTCAGTTTACAATCGATAGAGTAGCCAATTTTCAGGTTAGCTTATTGTAACGATATTTTCAAGGTCGTATTTTATGCAGTTTTATATTTTGTGTTCATGTGTCATAAAATATAATCTATCATTAAATGGAATGACACTCGCGTTTTTCGTACTGATTGCTAGACCATCATTTATAAAATGCATTGTCGACCGATTCTCCCTTTTTTTCTGAACATTACAATAAGCACACGCTGGGTGTGACAGGTTGGCAGGGAATGTTTATTATTCAATGTCACCTGATCCCATTCCTGATGTTTTGGAGGTCAGTGTTTGCTCTGATACTATTTTGTGACTTTTAATGGACTTTTAAGCTCGAATACTGTTTGTTATCCCCACATGTTTCATTCAATTGACTAATTGCACAACCGTTATAAGCATAGACT